AAACTTTTTAAGCTTAGCCAATCATGACTAGGCTATTTGTCCTATATGCTTTGAAACTTCTAAAACACACCTCTCTAAAAAAATAATAATAATAAATAAATAACAACTCATGCAACTGCTAAGGGGCCATGCGTGGTGTGATTGAAAAGGAAGCACATAAATTATAAGTTTTTCGATGCAGGGTAGGTAATTTTTCCACATATATAATTAAGTTGTTCCATTTTTGTATAGTTGCGTAGTCATCCGTGAATCAATTGGACAGCTACTAATTTCCAAACTCTGTCCAATATGTTACTCATTTGATGGCAAGGAGACAGGCCTTAACCCAACATAAAATTATATCATTAATTGCTGTTCCAATCTAAGTTTCTAGCATAAATTTCTATTGGACTCTCCAATACTTATCTGCTAACGAGACTCAATATATGATCTATAACTGGCTTTCTTGCTGGCAGCCACAGTATGGGGGTTCGATTCCTAAGACATGAAATTAGACTCTTTGTAGGTGCAGTGTACATACAATTTTTATTCCCTGACCTGTTTGGGCACATCCCATGATTTACCTCCCTCACAAAACTCTAGGGGTAGGGCAGTGGGAGTCTTCAAGATTGGGGTTCAACTTTTTTATTTATTTATAGCAGGCTTTCTTGCTATTAGATGTATCAAAATTTCACTGTTTCATCTAAAGTGTGCTGTCAACCTTTTCCCAACCTAACGCGGTGTTCTCATTAAATTGCAATTATTCTTGTGAAACCTATCTTTAAAAGAAATTAGAAATATGAAAGCTTGGATTTGTAACACTTTTGCTAAGAAAATAACATATCAAATTCAATTATCGTTGACTAGGCACTATGCCTATGTTTGATCTCCATTTTTTTTTTTTTCAAAAACTCATTTTCTCAAAACTTTTTTTCAGCCACATATTATCCCCATAACGATTGTGCTACATGTACAAAATGATTTATATATACATATTGTGGTGAAATATGATTAAATCAAAATTTCTTCAACCAAATTAAAAATAAAAAAAATTCTCATCTCTCTGACACATTTTATGTAAGTAAATCATAATGTAATTTCTTATGTATAAATAGCATTTCTGACATAATCATATCTCATATAATGTAAATCATTGTATGTATATAGCACAATCTAAGTCTGGTATGACTAAAATTCAAACTTTAATCTAAGTTAAAGTTAACAATTAATTTAATAACATATTCATGAGTGTCACAACT